AATAGAAGATGTTTCTAATAACATATCAAAGATGCGAAAAAGATTACCTTAAAGATATCGAGATCTTAGATCGTTCCATATCTCCTCAACTTTGTCCATCCATAATATACTTTGACATATGGTCAAGGAAATAGAATGTACAGGCAACTACCATGTTATTACCATGTTGTCAGACTATGTATAATGAGTCATCTTTTGTAGGTTTTGGTGTTAAACCATTTATAAATTTGATTTTGTTCTTTTCACTTAATGTTGTGAGCCTGGATATGCTCCAGGAGTAATAATTACTTGTATTAAGAACCAGAGAAACCAATCTTATCGCATGATTTTCATTTGGATGTATATACAAAAATTGTTTATAGAAGATCATGAATCTATGTTCATAAGAGGCAGAGAATTTGTGCTTGTAACAAGAGATGAATATGTTAATAATCTTTTCATGATATTTAAGATGAAACAAGAAAAGGAAAAATTCAAGAAAAGATAGTCAGAGTACATAACAAAAAGATCTCATACAATATCAAAGAAATGAGTGAATATTGAGCGTTCGGTATCGAGTTTGTCTCTTGATGGAATATCGAGCATGAAAAAAAAATTTGAGTGTGTGTCAATTATCAGATAAATGAATGAATATCGAACATTTGGTATTGAGTCTGTGGGTCGATGTAATAGCAAGCATGGAGAAAACTATCGAACATGTATTAATGAGATATCAAGCATGAAGGAAAACACTAACATAAAAGTATGTGTGTCGATAGAAAATCGAACACAAAATTTGAAGAACATGAAGATAGGTGGAAAGAGAGAAAAAAAAATTTACAGTAGAGTATTTGTAAAAGAATGTACAAATATTTATAAAAAAGAAAAAAAAGAGAAAAAATGATAAAAAGGAAAAACGGTTTCAACCATTTTAAAATATTTTGTTAAGGGAAAGAAAAACAGTTTTAAAAAGATTGTTTACGTGACGTAAAGAATGTTGATTGTCTTTTGTAGTTCATAATTTAAATTGAATTTTCCAATCATAATTGAACATTATAAGATTAAGTAAATAGTTAACAAGTATAAAAACAGGTAATAAATATAGAAAAAAAAGAACATTAACAACTTTATTGAATAGGAAGCATAATAATTACAGGTAAGTAACTTATGAACATAGAAATAACAAATATAATAAACAAATTCTCTATGAAGATACTTTTGAACATAGAATTTGTCACCTCCCTTACAAATAAACAAGTTATGTATTTCTTTGTCGTGCAGACATTATTAATATAGTAATTTACAAGCAGTTAAACTGATAAATTTTCTTAAAAAATGTGTCTCGCTTAAGTTAATACAAATGTTTGATTTGAGACTTTCAGTATTTATATTTACATTTATGAAATAAAAAATATAAACGCAATCAGTATATATATATATATATATATATATATATATATATATATATATATATATATATATATATATATATATATATATATATATATATATATACTGATCTCCTAAAAAAATTTGTAGTTAGAGGAATGAAATTTTGTTAAATTTATATTACAAAGTGCTAGGAGAAAACTTATGATATTGAGGGATTTGAGTTTTGAACTGGTAAGTCATTTTTTTTGTTTTGTGATTTTCGTTATTTTTAAATTTAGGGGAGAAATTTCATACAGTAAGATATATCCTAGTTATATAGGATATTATCCAAGTTATATGGGGATTTTGGAGAATTAGTTATTTAAATAATAACATGCTTAAATATGAAATATATATATATATATATATATATATATATATATATATATATATATATATATATATGTTTTGGTGTGTTATAATGAAAGTATAAAGACATCTTTATGTTATTTTAGTGTTATATGATGTTCCTATTACATATTTGTGATATAAATAAGTTGTATAATTGCATTACAAGAAATTTTAATATTATCGACGGTCAAAATCCGTCGATAATAACAAAAATCATGTCGGTAATATCCATTTACAGACGGATTTTACGATCGAAAATCCGTCAGAAATTCGGTTGTCGGTAAATATTATCGACGATTTAATAGTCCATCGGTAACTACCAGACGGATATATCCGTCGCTAAATATTTTTATTATTTATTAAATATTTTACTTATATAACTTATTTATTTTATAGAACCCCTTCAATTATCATTGACAAGATTGAAACCCAGTACTTAGAGTTAGAGGTCGATATTCCAACCACTAAGCTACCAGAATTTTTTGATAATAATTTACAAATAAATTATATTTATATATTTATATATAATTATATATTTTTATATATTTTTATATATTTATATATAATTAAATATTTATTTTTTAAAATTATTTAATTTAAGAAATTATTATAAATTAATCTAATTATGATTAAATTAAATTATTAAATAAAAAATATTTAATTTTTTAATTAGGTGAATATTTACTAATTGTTAATTTACTGACTGAAATATCCAGTCAATAATTTACGAGATGAATTTACAGACGGATATATCCGTCGGTAATTAATTGTTAATTTATCGATGGATTTACCAACGGATATATCCGTCGAGTAAATTCTTCTGTAAATTATCGACGGATTTATCGACGGATTTATCGACGGATATATTCGTCGGTAACTAATTATTATTTTATCGACGGATATATCCGTCGGTAAGATCAAATTCCACAAATATTTTATATTCGTCGGTAATTTCTGTCGGTAATAATTATTTTCCGACGGTTACAAATCCGTCGGTAAATATCCGTCGGTAATACGCGATTTTCTTGTAGTGTGGTATTGGAAAAAAGGTTGAAAATTGTGAAAAATCTCTCTTCTTTTACTCTATTTTTGCTTAAGCAAGATTTGTGTTGCTTGAGCAAGGGCAAGATAATGAAAAATGTGTCTTAAAATTGTGGTAATTTGCTCAAGCAAGAGTTAAGTTGACTTAATTTTTGCTCAATCAAGAATCAAGTCAGGCTTAAATTTTGCTCAAGCGAGAGAAAAGATAATTAAAGAAGCTAAATTTTCGCTTAAGTGAAAATTTTGAGGTGTTTTTTGTTTAAACTTCAAAATTCATAAAATATAACTCTAAACATGTAAGCATTAGAATAAGGATTTTAATCAAATAAAAATTAGTAAAAAAATGACATCTATTGAAAAAGTTGTGTTTAAAAGAATAAACAAATGTTAGATCAGAAATACATAATTATAGTATTTAGTCAAAACAAATCCAATTTATTATAAATGTAAGAAAATGACCTATGTGATGAATTTATAAGATGATATTGTGTTGTTGTATATTTTGAATACTAAGATATATTTGTTGAAGCTTAGTCGAATTAGGAGAATGACTCATAATCGATTGATATATATCTATGTATGTTTGTAGGTACTCGAGGAGGTATTATGCGGTGTTAGTGTACTTAATATATTTATGTGGATTTAATGAATTCTCGGGTTCCACTAATAGTCCCATTTAAGAAGACTATGATATTTGTAGGTGAGAAGCCAATAGAGAGATTACTAATAACTTACCTTAACATGACAAGAGAGATGCATAAAAAATAATAGTGTTGTTAGTAATCTTACTCTATGGGTAGGAAGCCAGAATATATAATACAATATTACTTTTAGTATAACTACAAATATTAGTTTTTATGTTTGAAGTATAATGTTGATCTTTCATAAGATGTCTATATAAATAATATGTAATACAATGTGATGAATATAATTATATAATATTATATACTACTAAAATTTAGTTATTTTTTACAACTTTTTTTATAAAAAAACTATTTAAATTTATAAAAAAAATTTCTTGCGATTTTTGTAAAAAAATTACAAGAAAATTCTCATAAAATATGAGAATTTCTAATATATATAGTAGATTTGACGGATAATTATTATTTAAATAATTAATTTATTATAATTTTCTTATTTATATAACTTGCCTATTATAATTGTGTTAATTTCATATAGGAGAATAAATATAGATAATAAATTCTATTATAGGATACAATTGTAATTAAAAAAATGTTACGATATGTTTTTTTATTAAAAGCTTATTAAGTATGATATATTTTTTAAAAAATATATTATGATAAATATTATAATATTAACGTAAGGTTCTTATAATATTATTTTTTTAAAATAATTTTTAAATTTTATCTTTACAAGTGAAAATTTTCAATTGAATATATATATATATATATATATATATATATATATATATTTAACACTTTAGAATAATATATTATATATGTGTATTCTACACTCATTTTAAACTTCATCTTTCATTTACTATGACTGAGTTGATAGACGAAACAAGTCATAAATATCCTTACTATAATCATAATTTCATTCAGTCTAGGGTGAAGAGAGTTTGGAAAAAAAAAATCGTAAATTCATCCATGATTGCATTCGTATTAAAACAAGTTTTCGTCATAAAATTTAACTACAATGAATTAATTATAAAATAAATCAGCACAAGCAAATCTAATTTAATTGAGTTAAAGAGGATATTTGATTTCAATCTATTAAAAAAAAAACAGCTTAATAGTGATTTTGTTAAATATATGATCTATAGATGGAACTTTAGTTATAGTGTAAACGATTGGTGCATGGAAACGTGGGTTACGGGGAACCTGCGAGAACCTTAATTAACGTAACAACCGTAAAGAAAGATATGGTGAGGAGTCGCTAATGTGTCATGTTGTCCGAGCAGTTGCAATAAGGTGTAAGGTTGAGTATGGGAAGTGGGAAGAAAGAAAGAAAGGTTGTAAAGTTGTGTTAGGGTTAGGAGAGGTGGAGAATGGGAGGGAGAGTCCATAATGATAACAGAGCTTACTCACTCACCCATCTCATCACGTAGATAGAGGAATGGGACGTGTGTGTGGGTATGAGATTATGGGAATTCCTATTCCATCCTATCCATCTATGTCATGTCTATAAATACTAATCGCACAACCTATCAACCTACGATTTCCCTACAACACACCCTACGCCTTAATCTCATCCCATTTTTTCACTACGCGACACACTCCGTGTGTTGTCCTCTATGCATGCATGTAATATCCACACCAACATTTTAAATAACATTTCTTTTTATATATATATATATATATATATATATATATATATATATATATATATATATATATATATATATATAACATCAATCGACTTTTAAAATTTATTAAAATGGACTAAAACAAATATTTTTAAGAATATTGAGTATCATATTGATATTTAAAAAACGTGAAAATATAAAGACATCTGGAACCTGAAATCTAAGTTTCGGATGCGGAACAATAAAATTTATTCGAGATAATTGTAGCCTAAATGTGAATAATATCCACGTTCCAACGCGAAATCAAACCTGCATTAATAGGGTTGGTTCAAGGAAAATGTGAAATCTCAAACTTTTTTTTTCTTCGCTTATATCACTAATTTGTAATAACGACTAAATTTGTAAAACTAATCCTAAAACTTCTAAGAAAAGATAAAGTCTTATCTTAATGTACGATCTTTTTGAACACTTTTTTTTTTCATAATTTTTTTATGAAAAAATAAAAGGAAAAAATATAATTACCTTTATTGTAAGGTAAAATTAGTATATCACCGTAGGTTAATTCATAGAAGTCTTTTCATATAATTTTAAAAAAAAATATTTTAATTTATTCATAAATTAGTTTCATTTATAAAATAATTGATCTTTTATTTCTCTTTTAGAAAAATATGAAGAAACTCATGAAACTCATGTCATAATAAGATAACAAAACAACAATACCTTATCCGATTTCGTAATCTAGGTTCACGAGCGTATATTAAAATTTCTATTCCTAATATTATTCTCAATTAAAACATGTGGTTTTGGGTTACGATAGGGGAGGTTGGTTAATGATTTTGAGATATAAATAATATATTATTAATAAATAATAAAATATATAAAAATGTGAAATATAAAAAAAAAGAATATAATTTTTTATTTAATATATTTAATAATTTATTTTAATTTTATAAAAATTAAACTAAAATTATAACTACAAAAATATTTAATCATTATAAATTAAAAAATAAAATTATAAATATACATATAAATTAAAAAATTGAAAAATTAATCGCCTCTGTACGTCCCAAAAAATTTGCCATTGTAAAATTAGTTTATATCTAGTTTTAAATACTTATATATATATATATATATATATATATATATATAACTTGAATTATTATAATTAAAAAGAATAATTTATTAATATAATTTGTTTATTATAGCATAAAAATATTATTTAATTATTATCGGGAGAAACCTAATAAATGTTAGAGTTGAAAATAAAATATAAAAACTTTTTGTTTTATAAATAAGATGACTCAACTTCTTATAAAGTAAAATATTGTTGGTTTTAAAATTTTAATTTATTATAATTTTATCTTTAAAAATATATAATAAATTTATATATATATAAATTTTTAAATGATGTAATATTTATTATAAATATAAATAACATCAACAAATAGAATGATGTAGATATTACATGTGGCACGGAGGAAGGAATATAAGTAGATTTGAAAGGAAAGGTGGAGAAAAGAGGCGTGTTAAGGTGTGGCGTGGTGGCTGCTATGCAACACTGTGGGTGGCTTCCGTTTGTGATAAACAAGATATGCATCTTATCCTCTTTTCATCCTCTTTTCTTACTTGTTCTCTTCTGTTGTTCCTTCCACCAACAAAGGTTACTTCTCTTTTTCTTTTTTCTTTTTTTTATGTGACGTATACACATCTCAATTGTCCTTTTGCTTTCTTCAGTTAACGTCACTGCTGCTCCAAACCATCAAATTCCAGAAATAAAAATCAAACTTTTACTTAATCACTAAAACATTGCCATTAAATAAATGGATTCTCTCCCAACTTTTTTTTTTCTTAATTATTTTTAATTTGGTAGAGTAAAAAATTATTTACCTTAAACTTCGTAATTAGACGAAGAAATACCAAACAGTATCCTCATCATGGTTAGCATTAAATTTTCCTCTTTTCATTAAATTTGTTTTGGTCTGCAACCTGTAAAGAAATATTCCCCAATCACAGGCAGAAACTTTTAAATGGTATTTTTTCTTTAGGAACAGCTTGGGACCACTATACTAATTATTTTTGCACACATAATTTTTGTACATTTTCTTGATAAATCCATGTAGCTTTCGTTTTCACGCATTTGAAAAATCTTGGCTAAAAGAAACAGAATTGATCATGGTACAGCGATGAAGTCATCCAAGCATTATTGGATTGTGTAACAAGTTAATAGTTAAAGGCTAGAGGCAAAATTGAAGACTCCACGACATCCCATGATATATACCTTCGTCCTTATGCACTTATTAATGCATTCTCAGAAATTTCAACTATAAAAAACGATATATTTCTTTTTCTGTTGCATAAAAAACACCATATATTAATTAACATCTTCGCATTAAATTTGCTTTTAACTATAGATATCGCGAATCAATAATAATATAACGTGTTAGCTTAGGTTATTTATCAATATAAAATAATACATAGTAAGATATAATTTTTAATTAAAAAAATCGTTAACCTTAATGTCTAATATTTTTGTAGTATTCTAACTGCCCAAGTAATTGGAATTAAATAATAAACAAATTTTATCTACTAAATCGAAGGTTTTTTATTATTGAATACAATATAATTGGCCAGAGCTGGTAATATAAAATAAACTACTAATATTTCCTATAATAAATAACTTATTTTCCATTTTGAAATAAAATTAGCTGATAAATAATGCTAACATAATGGTAAGTTGATGTGGGATATTGGTGTTGATCACGTGTCTTTCATGACATATCTATCTCACTCAATTTTAAGAGATTATACTTTTAAGAAATTAGACCCCATGTATTTAAAAGTGAATTCAAGTTATAAATAATATTTTTGAACAATACCTATTATTAAAAATATATTATATAAACTGCTTACTTATATAATAATATTAATATTAATGTATTATATTAAAATTTTGAAATTTACAATGAAAATATTAAAACCTATCATATTTTCCAACCAAGTAAAACATCCATAAATCCATCTCAATCCATCCTAAAAACACCCTAATGTTTGTTAGGAGAGAAGGTGTTAAAAATGGAGGCTAAGCTTCAATCAAGTAAAGTATGGCCAACTTTTTTTTTTTTTCTTTCTTGCCTTCTCCTCCTAGTTTTGGACAGAATCTGAAGTTGTAAAAAGAGGAGTAAGGTGGGCCAGAATTTTGTTGGGAGGTTTCTGGACAAGTAAGTTGTTCCCTCTCGTTGATGCACGCCTCTTGTCCAAAAAATGCCACGCAGGGCACAGCCTGACGCTGCTGTCACTACTCTCACATGCCACGCAACACACACAATTTTACCTTCAAACCAAATGAAACAAAAATGTATCCAACAACGCAACAACAACTACTACACTCACTATTGCTTTTCTCTCTGTATCCATAACTCCTCTACTCCTACATTAACTTTCTTTTACTAACAAAAAACTACACTTGAAAATGTACTTCATTTTTCCCTCTTCCTTCACACCAATTATTTTTTCTCATGCTTGTTAATTCGGATAGTGTTGGTGTGTTAATGGTATACCTGTATATAATTTGTATGCTTGTGTTCATGATATTAGCATCGCCGTGTTATTCATATTTCTTAATGAATTGTATTTCTAAACTATGCGCAAATGTAAGTAACTTCAAATCTTTTTAAAATTAGACAACCATAATTTAATTAATTAAAAATATTATTTAAATTTAACCAAAACCTAAAATATACTCGTCTGCAATGTAATAAATTGTAATTATTATTTTTTATTTATAAATAAAAAGAAATTTGATTGATCTAGGACAACATGTATTATAAGATGTAGGACAAGGTACATTGATATAAGTTTAGATTTGAAGTCCATATATTATTATTGGCAAATTTTATTAGAAGTTGAGATTCAATTAATTTATGATTTTAATCTCTAAAATTTAATGATTATTAAATATATTATTTATATATTTAAAATTTTGTTTTCTTATATTTTAATTTTTTTACTATTTTATATTAATTTATTATTTATTAATAATATATTATTTGATCTAAAAATTAATGATTAAGATTTGTTACTAATTACACAATAAAACAAAGATTTTGTTCAATGATGATTATTTGTAATTATTTTAGATATGTAACAAGTTTTTAAATTAATTTTTAAACTATGATTATTAGACATACATTGTCTCATATCGTATAGGATGCTAATTTTTTAAATAATCATTGTCATATATGTAAAAAATAGATATTTGATGACGGATGTAAAAGAATTATCGTTGTATTTCTTATATTCTATTTAGGAATAGTAGAAAAATTCATACTCACATACATCTATGGATAAAATCCGTCATAAATACTAAACAAATATGTTAAATAGATACTCGCAAGTAACATATACAAGTATTTTAATTATCCACCTCTGAACGAGGTGAGTATGGTCTCATAGTATCTAATACGTAGATACCCGCTTATTAACTATTGACGAGTTATTTAAAATTAAAATTTATATATTTATATTTTTTATCTAAATTTATAAAAATAAAGTTATTTCTTAAAAATTAACATTATTTAAATGTATACTTTATACTACAACTTAATTGGGTTGATATTTTAGAAAGGCTAGTTTTATTTATATTAATATTTTATAATTTAATGTTATTTAAATTATCTTTTATGATAAAAATTCTACTAAAATATATATTTTATAATTTTTTTAAAATAAATTTATTTTAAATAAAAATAAAATAAAAATTATTTGTGAGTATCATGAATATATTTGCAGTATAAAAGAAAAGAATTTATGGATATTTTCTAAATGGATACCAACAGACAATTTTTTTTTTTTTGCAAGGAGAGTAATAGGTACGTATTATTCATGCATGTCTTGTCTTGTTGTCATCTCTAATCTTACAAAGTTTCCGATTCTTTTCTCATTTTAATCTTACTTTCTTGATTCTCTTCCTTCTCTCTAGTGTTGTATTGCTATAAGTAGCTCCTCTCCTTCGCACACTCCTCTCTCTCCTCGCTTCACTCCTCTTGTCCATCTCCATCTTCTTGTGGTGGTACTCATGGTGTTTATTGGTGATCTATGGAGGTTGCTAGTAGTGTTCGATGATGTTTCTTCTTCCTTCATTGTGCTCCTTTGTCTTCGTGCGAGGTCACTTCTTGTTGGTGGTGCTAGACAGTGATGATGATGGTGGACAATGGTAGTTGTTGTGGTGGAACTGGTGGTTTGATGGTGGTCGATAGTTATATTATTTTGTTGTGATTAAAGTATATTTATAATGATTTTATACTATTGACCGAGTTTGTATTAAGTTGGGAGATGTTCAATCATCGACAAATTGTATTTATAATTTTTTAACGTCTTTATTTAAAATGTTACGTAGCAAAAAATTTAAAAAATGATGGATTAAAGTTGAATTAATTGTGCACACATAACTAATAAGCATGAGAAAAGAGTTAAAGAAAATTTACTATTTGCACTCATAACTAGGGATACAAGCATACGTCACCAATTCCTTTTGGCCAAGGGGAAAAATATATATTTTGCACCTTATATTTATGAGTAAATACATTCTCTTTTTAAGAAAATGTTTTATCTTTACTCAAATATAATTTTAACTATTTTTTACATGTTTAAATGTAGTGGCATTCAGTGGCGGATCTTCACCATTGATCTTGGGGGGACTAAATAATATATTATTAATAAATATAAAAGGAAGAAAGATGATAAAAGTGTAAAAGGATAAAATTGTAAATATATACTTAAATATATTAAATGATCATTAAGTTAGAGAGAGACAAAATCATAAATTATATAAGAGTTATAAAGCTGAGGAGGAGTTGAGAGGATAAAATTGTAAATATACAAGTAAATATATTAAATGTTAATTAAGTTTGGGGGGACCAAAATTATAAATTACATGGGAGTTACAAAACTTTGGGGGGGATAACGACGCCCATCGGCTCCCAAGAAGATCCGCCACTTGGTGGCATTGACAATTGTTTGTCATATCCATGGTTGATAACATGGTTGTATGGTTTTGTTCATTGTAAAAAAAACCTCCTATATGCATTAAACAAATGGTAGATTAGTAAGAAAAATTGTTATTTTTAAATATAATTATATTATAGTTATGTTTTTATGTTCTAACAAAATTTTCATATTATTAGTGCATTTACTAGATATAATATAACGTGAAAGGTTATATAAACTCACATGGTTGCTAAAGATATATGAATCATATATTTTAATTTGTGTTTTTTTTCTAATAAATGATTTAATTATGAATATTTTGAATTACAATATAATAAATAAAACGAGAGGATATTAATGTAACTACCATATAATACAATGAATAATGATCATGTGCGAACAAGAATTGAAAGATGTTGTGATTAAATAAGACAAATATATATTTAAAAATATGTCATATTGAAGTTAGTTATATATTATTTATGCACTTATAAACACTTAATTAAATACATTGCATATATTTTCATGGATATTTCTCCATTGGATACAAATCTTTTATATTATATTAGATATACATGAATAACTTACTTTATTAACTTGTATAACACCTTAGGATAGATGAATTGATAGTATATTATAATTAATTTATAATTCAAAATCTACGAGTTATTAGATATTGGTAGTTTACGATTATAAGGATAGATAACTTTGTACTATTAGATATTGTGTTAGTTATAGCAAACATAGTATTAGATAGTTAGTTTTGCATCAATGTGATTGTTTATATACTCTAAATATGTTGAATATTGTTTTTGTATTGCACTAGACTGAATGGAAATATGTAAGTGTTCAAATAGGAAAAAAAACATAAGGTATATAAAAATAAAAAAGATAAGACAACAGTTAATACACTAAAATTCACATATAACAATGGTTATAGTCATGACTGTTGTCATATGTTTTTTAAAAAATATGAGGAAAACCTATGATCAGGATCTTAGTTTTCATCATATGTGCATATACAAGAATGGTTAAATCCAAACAACGGTTTCATATAGAGCTATTGGAGTCTAACTTACAAAGACGAGTCTTCTGAATGTGTCATTATAGGTTAATATACAATGACAATTCAAAACATAAAAAATCATTATTGTATATGACATATACAATGATGTGTGACACCCTCGTCAAATATCTCAATATATAACGACAGTTCAATTGATGATGGGTTCAAAACTGATGTTGTATGACTTTTTTAACCATTGTTGATACTTTTATGGCAATAGTGATATATCTTATCTACTATTACAAATATAATAATAATATTAAATAACAATTATTGCAAGCATTTTTGTTGTTTTATATCAAAACCAAAAACATAACCATGACTACATTATGTTCCCTGAATCATACTTCAAAGTTAAGATAGATAAGGAACAAATTGAACCTACTTAGCAACAAAGGCATGGTTAGTGGAAACAATGACAAAGTTGTTTTTCCCATATGACACTTGCATATACCTCTCTTGAGAAAATCTTTTTGACAACATATAACTCAAATGACACCATAGTAACTCCCATATTGGAGATTTCGTGGTATGAGATATATATTTTGTAAAACATCACTACTACACATAACTTATTTTTAACAGTTAAAAAAGATATAGTTACAGTTTTAAAATCATCATTATTATAATCAACATTGAAAGTTAAGAAATTAACGATAATTTTGAATCATCATCATAACTTACCAAGACGACCATGATCATAAATATAATTGTCATTGTATTCAAAGCCTCAATTATTGCTTTGTCACAACAAACTTAGAAATTTCTACTTCTCCCTTGTTGTTGCTCAATTGCAAAAAATCTATAAAATTTTTCTTTTCCTTCATTGTTTCTTTGTCGCAAAAAATCTAAAAGCTTGTGTTATTCCTTCATTGTTATTCCGTTGCAAGAAACCTAAATGCTTTTATTACTTCCTCATTATTGTTCTTTAGGCATGGCGGCAACGTGTTCAACAAAACATTTTCCAACTTGTTCTCCACCTTCGAATCATGTAACAAAAGCTTTCGTAACATAATCTGAGTTGTCTTATTACTAAAATCTTGTCTTTCATTTTCGTTTTCTCTTGTGACGAATTTAAATGTGTTAGAGACATTTGTGATAGAAAGAAACACTTTGTGAATAAGAGAAATAAGAAAAGAGTTGAATCTAGCACATATGGAGAAAATGAGAGTGATAACGAAAGAGGAGAGGAGAATAATAGAGAAGTGGAAGCGTAAACAAGAAATGGGTAGAATAAAAGAATTGAAAAGTTTGATGAGACATACAATGATATCATTGTATGTAGCATACGAAAATATATTACATACAATGACAATTATAAAACGATCAACTTTAAAAAGTTATTTATCATCGTATATTATATATGATGACAATTATAAAAATCATCATTAAAAAATTAGATATAAAGACAATTCATTTTAAAATTTTTGTCATATATGACATACTTTAACAATATGAATGAACTATTATTACAATTTTGAAATTAATTTTAAAATTATAAACATACTTTGTACTAGTGCATATATTTATCCTTATAAATTAAACAACACAAAAAAAATGATAATAATAAATTACAATTTTATTATGTAATTAACTAAAATTTGAAATTCTTAAAAATAAAAATATAACTTATCTAATGAGTCATTTCTAATTAACTCATACCCTTTCTTTTGATCAAAATATGATAGGATATCATAATGCACATTCTATCATAATCTAATCAATAGTGATTTATTGTTGTAAATGTTGACTAGTTTACGAACAAAACTTAATTCTTGAAGTGTGTATAATCATTGTCCTTAAAGACTTATCCACAGAGTATTACGCAAGTCTCCTAGGATACAACAACAACTTTCTGAATTTTCCAAGGAACTCAGAAACTAACAAGAAACTCTTAAAAGAGTAAATAAACCTAAGTAAAAGGAATGGAAAAGGAGAGAAGAGAGGATCAGTAAAATTATGTCTTTGGAGGAGTGTGGAATGGTTTATTTATAGGTGTAGTATGAACAACAAACTCATATCTGCATTCAACATCATGGGTGGTTGTGGCCTAGAAACATGGGAGCACTTCTATGTTAGTGGAACACGTTCTAGGTTAATGGAGTACATTATAGGTTAGTGGGACACGTTTAATATTTTGCAATACCTCTATTTTACAACAATCATGCACATATTTCAAAACAAAAAGGAGATAAAAGAACAAAAGAAGAAAATCTTAGGTCTCATATAAGATGTAATGCATTAGAGTTGGTATAGCAAGTTATATGAACTAGTCTTAGACTTAAAACTTAACACATAGTGTAATTGGTATAGCAGACTATATGAACCAAAACACTTAGTGTGTGTTAGCGGTTTAATAATCACAATACACCCCTACAATTCTTGTTATTATCATTGTGTTGTGCTTACTAGGCCATGCGCGTGTCTGATATTCATGAGTGCTCTAGATATATTGTAAAGATCTCATACAAGTGACCTCACTCGATACTCATATAGGTGATTTCATCAAGCGCATGCTACAAATCATACATCTCACGTAAGGGATATATGAAATAATAAAAAACTTTGTTTAAACTAAAATTCATACTCCACATAAAATTTTAATTACAAAGTTTAACTTCTCATTGATGCAGTATCTTGTACTTTCACACACACCATAGGAATGAACAATTGACTGATTTTAATCAATTTTAGTGCTAGCAGAACTAACAAATGACTTATTTTTACCTATATGAATCTTATTCATGGGATCTCCAATCACAAAGGTTGGGTTACCATCACTTGTTTGTTTGCAAGTGGCTTGAGTCCTATTCCCCTTGATGCTTCTAAAATCATATTTCTCCTTAAAGGTTTCGTCAGATGATATGCTAGATTCCGTTCTGAATTCACATAGTCAATCGAAATTGTTTCACCCTTTAGCAGCTGCTTCACTAAATTATGTCTCAATTGTATATGTCTATTCTTTCTATTGTAGTTCTTGTTTTTAGCTATAGTTATTGCCGATT